GTCTCACTGTATACCCCTGACTGGTCTGGCACTCACTGTATAGACACTGTGTAGACCTCACAGAGATCTGTCTATCTGTCTTGGTAATGCTGAGATTAAATGCATGTGTTATCAAGTCTAGTTGCGGACTGCGCTTTAAATACTGATCAAATCTTATTTCTGGGGAAAACCTCCACTGTGTTGTATTTTTGTAGACACATGGCTGCCTTTAATTTGCTAATATTTTGTTGAAGGTTTTGTGGTTATGAAGGATATTCATCTCTAATCTTTTCTAGAGATGCATTTGTCTTGCTTTGGTATCAGAAATGATGCTTCCCTCCCTAAGATTTGTGAGATGGCTTGCCAGGTAGAGGTACCGACTGCCCAAGCCTGACACCTAGGTTTGATCCCCGGGCCCCACTTGGTGGGAGGAGGGAACGGACTCCTGCAGAAGTGTTCTCTGACCTACGTATGAGCTTGCCACATACACTGAAATAACTGTAACTTGCTTTTACTGTTGTGTGTGCGTGTGTGTCCCCAGATGTGGTCTTGGGGGCCATTGCATGAACATGGAAAATGTGCGATCTGATGCTTGAGACTGGAGTGGCAAATGTCAGTTAGGTCCAGTTGGTCGATAATGTTGCTTGATTCTTCTTCATCTGTAGTAAGGGCTTGTGAGCAGGCCTGCTTTTCGTCCCACCCAGCTCCCGCATGGCTAGCTTAGCCCCGGAAATAATAACACACAAATTGTATTCATTTAAGCACTGCCTGGCCCATTATCTCTAGAGAGTTAGTTACTGACTAACTCTCATATCTTGATATTAACCCATTTCTAATAATCTGTGTAGCACCACGAGGTGGTGGCTTACCGGAAAAGATTCAGCATGTCTGACCTGGTGGCTGACTCCATGGCGTCTGCCCCATTGCCCTCTTCCCAGCATTCTGTTCTGTTTACTCCGCCTACCTAATTTTCTGTCCTATCAAAGGGCCAAGGCAGTCTCTTTATTGACCAATGAAAATAACTCAATAGACAGATAACCCTCCTCCATCATTCATCCACACTGGCTTTCTGTCTGCTGTTCTATCAATCATTGAGACACGAGTGTGCTCAACTAAATTGGAATTTTACCTCTCTTTTGGTTCTATCACTGTTTGCTTCATGAATCCTGAAGTTCAGCTTAGAATCAGTGTGTTCACTGGATAAATTCATCCCTTTATTATTAGGACATGTTCCTGCAATGTTTCTTAATATGTGGTGTATCATGCTCAATATTGTTCCCCTTGCTTCTTTATATTAGTGTTTTGTGGTGTACACACATACACAAATATATATATGTATATATATATATATATATGTATATATATATATATATGTATGTATAAATACAAATGTAGGGGCTGGAGAGATGGCTCAGTGGTTAAGAGCAATGGCTGCTCTTCCAGAGAACCCGAGTTCAATTTCCAGCACCCACACGGTGGTCACAACTCTCTGTAACTCCCCAATGGATATAAGATAAAGTGAAATAAATTATAAAAACAAAAAACAGCTTTAGAAATAATAAATAAATAAATAAATAAATACATACATACATACATACATACATACAAATGTGTATGTTGGGGGAGGCAGAATCTTACTATGTTGTTCAAGCTGGATAAACTTGTAATCCTCCTGTCTCAACCTGAGTAGTTAGATTACAGACATGTCCCATCATATCCTGGCATGGTATTAACTTAGATTTTATCTTTTTTTCATTTTGTCTTTAATGATATTTTTATTTTATGTGTGTAGGTGTTTTGTTTGTATTATATATGTATGTATGTATGTATACCACATGCATTCAGTGCCTGCAGAGGCCAAATGAGGACATCGGATACCCTGGAACTGGAGTTACAGATAGTTGTTAGTCTCTGTGTGTGGTAGTTTGAATGTAATTGGCACCCATAATCTTATAGAGAGTGGCACTATTAGGAGGTGTGATCTTGTTAGAGGGAGTGTGTCACTGTCAGGGTGGGCTTTGCGATTTCCTATGCTCAGGATACTGCCAGTGAGTCAGTCAACTTCCTGTTGCCTGCAAGAGGTAGGACTCTCAGCTCTTCTTCCAGCACCGTGTCTTCCTGCATGCTGCCATATTCCCCACCATGACAATAATGGACTGAACCTCTGAAACTGTAAGCAAGCCCCCTCAATTAAATGTGTCTCTTATAAGAGTTACCATGGTCATGATGTCTCTTCACAGCAATAAAAACCCTAAGGCAATGTGGGTGCTGGGATTTGGACACTACTCCCCCCATGCTCGTTCATTGCTTAGTCATCTCCCCAACCACTTTGCTTTTCCTTTGTGTTTTTTTTGGGGGGGGGGTTGTTTGTTTGTTTTTGAGACAGGGTCTCTCTCTATAGGCCTGGCTGTGCTGGAACTTGCTATGTAGACCAGATCAGCCTAGAACTCACTTGTCCTTGCCTCCCTCCAGAGTGCTGGGACTAACGGAATGTGCCATCATTTCTATCAGTTCTGTATGCAAGTCTGGTGTGACAAAAGCATACATACTGTCACCTAGTACAGTACAGAGCACTAGACGGGGAGTCGGGGCTTGGGTTCTCAGCCCAGCTTCTCTGGGGACTCTCCCTCTTCTCTTGTCTTTGTTTCTGTCTGATTTCCTTTTAATTATGTGTATGTCTACTACGTAGGTGTACTGAAGTGAGGCCTGTGGAGGCCAGAGACAACAGATCACCCAAGAGTTGGAGTCACATGCAGTTGTGAGTCTCTTGATGTGGGTGATGGGAATTGATCTCAGGTCCTCTAGAAGAGCATTGTGTGCTCTGTGCTGTCTCTCCAGCACCCATCTCTTCTTCTCTTTTTTATCTTGTCTTTTCTTTCTTCTTTTTCTCCGCCTCCTCCTCTTCCTCCTTTTCCTCCTCCTCTTCCTCTTCTTCCTCCTCCTCCTGTTTTTAACACCGAGGGTTGAATCCAGAGCCTCATGCTTGCTAGGCAAACACTCTTTCATTATACTATCACCCCAGCCCCACCTTTTCTTTCTGAGTCAAGGTTTCACTAAATGCCCCAACTGGCCTCAAACTCACTCCATAGCCTAGACAGGCCCTGAAGTTGTGGCTCTCCTACCACAGCCCCCTGAGTGGCTGGGCACAAGCTGTAGGCCTGTACCACCTCTCCTGTGGCATCCATTTAGGTAGATTATGTAATGGCCTCTGGCTTGTGGCTTCTCAGTAGGAAGGTCAGGGGATTGAACGAGATGACCTCAGTGGCTCCGCCAAGAACCATTCACGGTTCCAGGAGTCTTCATCTGCGGCCTTGCTCACAAAGCTAATGAGTACCTGACCCTGGCAGCCCAGCTAAGATTTATTTACTTTAATAATATTTATCAAAACCACAGAGCTCACTTCACACTCATACATCACTCCTGCCTTCCTGTTTACCCCACAGGTTTATCTTCTCAAGCCGCCCTTTGGGCTTACAAAAGCACCTCTGTGCTCCTCACCTGTGATTAAGTGGACAAAGAGCCGGTTATAAAACTGTGTCTCAGTTAAGGCATCTGTGGCCGTGAGGAGACCATGACCACGGCAGCTCATCTAAAGGAAACATTTAACTGGAGCCGGCTCATAGTCCAGAGGTTCAGTCCATCATCGTCGTAGTGGGAAACATGGTGGCATGCAGGTGAACGCGGTGCTGAGGGTAGCTGAGAGTCCTACATCTGAATCTGCAGGCAGCAGGTAGAGAACTGGACAGCAAAGTCGGCCCCTTAGTGACACACTTCTCCAACAAAGCCATACCTCCTAATAGTGCCACTCCCTATGAGCCTATGGAGCCATTTTTATTCAAACCACCACAAACTAACAATAGTATACATGTATATTTGTATAAATTTACTTATTTATTTTTAGTTTTTTGAGACAGTGTTTCTCTGTGTATCCCTGGATATCCTGGAACTCACTCTGTAGACCAGGCTGTCCTTGAACTCACTGACCTCTGTCTGCCTCTGCTGGGATTAAAGGCATGCACCACCACTACCCAACTTGTGTATTTTTAATTTAGATTTTATATATATCTATATCTATATCTATATATAGATATAGTATATAGAATACATTAAATATTTTCATGTGACTACAGTTTATAAATATAAACATGTGTGATTATAAATATATAATCTGAAAGGTTCTACACATAGCTTTTCCTTTCTCTTTGAGACAGTCTTTTAAAGAACACACAGCACATGGACAGAGCAGTCTCATCCCTGGAGAGGCCCCAGTTTTCCATCCACCCTCACTGCCCTCATGTAGCCCAGATGGGTGGTCTCACACATACCACGTGGCCAAGGACAACCCTGAACTCTTGGTCCTCCTGCCTCCACCTCCTGAGTACTTGAATTACAGGTAAACATAATCTCACTGGGTGGATTCTGGGAACAGAAGGAACTCAGGTCTTCTGCAGAATTAGAATGTGCTCCTAACTGCTGGGCCATCTCTCCAGTCCACCAAGGTTGGGTTTGAACTTGGGAGCTGAAAAGACCCATACAACTCAGCCTACTGAGTAGCTGGAATCAAAGTATACCGTCATACTCAACTTTGGTTTATTTGTTTATTTATGCATTTTTGTTCTTTGTATACTAATTTTTGTTCAGGGAAACTGGTTGTTTTCTTAGAAATACAAAACTCACATAGACCAATAAATACTGTTTCCACTGGATCCAGAATCTTGGCGCCCCTTCAGCTTCATCCCTGATCCCAGGTTGCCTGTGTGCTTTTTTTAAAATCTTAAATAACAAGACAACGGCTCCTTCCCTCCTCCCAATCCCCTTCGGCTCCCCCATACCACCTCCTCCCTCTCCCACCCTGCTTGAGAGAAGGCAGGGAATCCTGCCCTGTGAGAAGTCCAACACCCTCCCCCACTACATCCAGGTCTAGGGATCCATATAGACTAGGGTCCCAAAAAGCCAGACATGCTGTAAAAACAAGTCCCAGTGCCTTTATCAATGGCTTCTCAGTCAGCCCCCATTGTCAGCCACAATCAGAGTCCGGTTTGATCACATGCTCATTCCGACCTGGTCCAGCTGGATTTGGTGAGCTCCCATTAGAACAGGCACACTGCCTCAGTTGGTTCCCTCATCAGCATCCACTTGTCCCCGTTTTTTCTGTCTTTTGCAGTCAATGAAGACCCACATCATCCTCAGCTGCCCTGCCGACCTCCAATCCCCAGCCTCACCCCTGTAGTCAGTCCTGTTCACCAGCATTCATTCATCATAGAGAATGGATCAGAGGGAATTGTCATGACCAAGGCTCCAAGACCCCATGGGAAGACCATGCCCAAAGCACTTACAGTTGTTGGGGAGGGTAGAGGCTGCGTGTGCAGGGGCTGGGAGGGAAAGAGAAACCACACATCCAAGCGAAGAGATTGCCAGATCCCACAGAGGAGCATGAGTCAAGCATCACCATGGGGCCTGGGGCCCTGGGACAGAAATAGTGATGCCATCATTCCAGTTATCAATCTATGTATTCATTCCACAAATACACTCACAGCATCTGCCATTAGCTTGTCACAGGTGCCGGAGAAGCAACAGCGAACAAAACAAGATAATGATCCCCCACCTACCCTATTTTGTTTATGTTCCGTGGGACACGGGAGCAAAGGAAGTAAGCATGTGTATAAATGATCGTTGCTGAGGGTGTTAAGAGCCACGAAAATAAAACTGGCTAGTGTGTCAGAGGGCACCGGGGGAGGTGACATCCGTGCTGATGTGTCACCAGTTAAAATAGAAGTCGGGAGGGTTGGAGAGGGAAGGCAACACGATTTGCCTCCTGGCCCATCTTCTCCCCTCACCCCCTACCTTGCGTCATAGCATCATATCCTGCTATGGCTCAGAGACTTTACGGGGGTGGGGGTGTCTCTGGAGTCTTCTGGGCAAATCCTAGGTCTTTAACTTGGCACTACACGGCCTCTACAGTCGCGCGCACCCTGCCTGCCTGTTCACCAGTCCCCACATCCTCTCCGGACCCTTCCATTCTGACCCCGGAAGGTTCACTTCAGCTGCATGCCTTTGGGCCTCCGCACCTGGAGCCTGGGACAGCTTCCGGTCTTCTCCAGTTCAGAACACAGGCCGGTCCTAACTGTTCCCTTAGGTGGTTAAGTCAGTCTTCTTGGGGGAGGGGCTGGAGCCTTCAAGGTCCTCTCTAATTAGGGGTGGCGATTATGCCTATAATTCCAGCACTCAGTGAACAGAGGCAAGAGGTCGGAAAGTTTAGGTGAGCCTGGTCTTTAATGCAAGACCCTCTCTGAAAAAGAAGGAAAGAAATTTTAATTAAAACACGTTTTTAAAAACGTATATTAAAACCTGGTATGTTGGTACACACCTGTAATCCCGAAGCGGAGCGTGGAGGCAATGTCAGGAACTCAAGGCCAGTTGGTCAGCTACCTATCAAATTCAAGGATAGTCTGGGGGCTTCACGAGACCTTGTTTTAAAAAACCAAAATCAAAACAAAATTTAAATTCAGCCAGGCGTGGTGTTGAACACCTTTAATCCCAGTCCTGGGGAGGAGGCAGCAGATCTCTGTGAGTTCAAAGCCAGCCTGGTTCAAAGGCAAGAGCTACACAATGAGACCCTGTCTACACTAATAAACAAACCAAAGACCTCCCCCGACACTGGATCCACTCACTTTACAGCTCGTTTGTCACTGTGCATGAAATGAAAATGGAAAAGCAAAGGAAGACTTAGCGAGAAAATCAGAGTTCTCCGCCTGGGAGGAGTAACAGGACCCGTCTTCTCCGTACTCAGGAGCCGGCAGCAAAGAGTCAGTGTAGTCTGCGGGAGGAAGGCATTGCTGTGGACGCCATCTGATGTCAGCATGTAGGGTGCGAGCTGCCCAGCACTGGCGAGGCCAGAGCCAGAACATTCTAGAATTCCTCCCATTCCTCAACTCTAAAGAGAATTAAAGTTCAGGGTTCTAGGCTGGCACGAACGAGGACTACCTCGGAATATCCCATAACCCCTCTCTGCAAGCCTCGGTTCCCTAGCCTTGCTGAAGTCCTCCCCTTTAACCTGGGAGAACGGAACACCTGGATAACACAGGATGCCTAACACCTGTCGCAAATCCTTCCCTTCCTCCTCCATTCTCTTCCTCCCTTCCCTCCTCCCCCCTCCGGTGCTGATTCAATTCTGAAGCTCGAACTTTGACACTTTGAGGCAGGATGTCCAGGCAGTGGGAGGCTACGGCAGGGACACGTGATTGTTATGTCGGATGTTTAGGATGAAAGTCAGTACCGTAAACATGTATTCATCATGAGTCTCCTTCTGCTGGGTCTTTCATCTGGGGAATCTCAAAGTTCCAGACAAATGGTAATTAATTTTCACAACAGCTTCCATGGGAGGATGGGAGCAGCCAAAGGCCAGGGGCATTTTCTCGCATCCATTTTCCCAAGCCTTGTACTCAGCACCAGTGGGCTGGCTGCCCCAAGGGGACAGTGCCACTTAGGTAGGAGGCCTAGGGCTTAGACTCCTTCGACCTAGAAGGCTCCAGGGCCAGAAGGAAGCTCCTTCCAACCAGCTTCCTGCCCCTGCCCCCTGCTCTGATCTCCCAGAGGATGACTAAGAATGACCTAGGCAAGAGTGGGAGCATTTCTGCCTCCACTGGCCAGCTGAGGCTCAACAGTGTTAGGTGATTCAGCAGAAACCTCATGGCCCCAGGACTATGACAGCCTCTACCCTGCCCCACCTCTGTGTCCACACTGTGCACACAATCGCTTGTCTGCCCCCACCCTGGAGGGGAGAAGTTACTTGAAATGATTTTTGTCTTTAATGCATATTATAGAGGAAATACACGCTGGTTGTGTAAAGCTTAGAAAATACTGGAAAATATTAGGCCAGATGTGGTGGTGCACACCTGTAATGTCAGCACTTGAGAACAATATAAACAGTATTTCAATAATTCCACTATTTCCAACAGAACCACTACTGAGATATTACTTTATTTTTGTCTGTTTGTTGTTGTTGTTGCTATTTTTGTCTTTTTGTTTTGCTTTGTTTTGTTGAGGCAGGTCTCTCTATGTAACTCTGGCTATCCTGGAAGGAACTTACTATGTAGACCAGGTTAGCCTCAGACTCACAGATCCACGTGCCTTTGCCGCTGAAGTGCTGGGTTACAGTGTGCGCTACCATACCGAGCTGTCTGTTTCTTGGTGTTCGTGGAGGTATTAACATACACTCACAGTGGCGTTTTTGCTGCTCAATCGTGAGGAGCTGGGTTGGGATCCTCAGCTCTCACCAGGCATGGTGGGGTCTTATAATCTGAGGCTAGAAAGTGAAAATTCTAGAAAAGTCGAATTCTCTCCACCAATTTCTGCAGAAGGAAATCTCTTAGGGTTTCTTGTAGACTCTTCTAGAAGAAGTTGTCGATTCCATATGCAAGCATAAGCATGCAGCATAACACATGACTAGCTTAGCTACATCTCACAGAAATAGGCATTTTCTGTGCCACTGGGAAAAAATACTGATCACACTTTTTATCAACTACTAATATTTTCTTGTCTTGCTGGTAGGCTCTAGTGTAGCGAACCTTTTCCTCATTTCTGGACTTTTACTCAGGTGAGGAACAGGAAGAGTAACTGAGTCAGAAGGAAGCGTGGGAGGAGGAAGTAGACCAGGCTGGCCTGAGGGCCTGCGAGGCACAGGTCCTTCAGCAGCTTTTCTGCCCCACTCTCCAGGTGAGGAAGCGAGGCACAGGAGAGTCCGCTTGTGGGTTAGAAGCCAGGCCTCCAAGCACAGTCCGTCGGTGCTAAAGGCCAGGGCCATTTGACTTAACCAAGACTTGTTGAGAAACCCTAATTTAATGGTGGCACGTGGCTCGGCTGGAGACAGGGAGAGCCCTTCGGTCACTCACCTCCCATTCACTCTGACATTTTGTGACAGGGATTCAGGGTGGAAAAGGCCCAGTCTTTGTCCCGTAGACGTTAACAGTCACATGGGGGTGGATATGGAAACAAGGAAACAAGCTGCCACTATCCAGCACAGGGGAGGGATGTGCAAGGGGCCGTGGGGGCCCAACCCACCGGGGCTTCCTCTCTCAGATTCCAAAGGTCAAGGAAGGCAGGGAGGAGGCCTATCCTGAGTCAGGCCTCTCGTGCCAGGCAGGTTATGCCAGGGAGGCTGACCCACCCCTGCAGGCTCTCTATCCTCTGCATCAGCCCCCCCTCCCCGCCCCATTCTGGGTTTACCTCTAGCCTCCTGCCTTTCACATCATGGTTTTTCCCGTTCCCACAGCAGGAGAGTGCACGGTAGGCTTTCAGCTTCTGGAAATGTTTTCAAGGAAACGATTCCGGTTTATTTTCTAGAAATTCAGGAAATTTCCATCACACTTAGGACAGGAGTGGGAAGCACAGGGGGCTTATGAGTATATCTGACTGGAGCTCTGCTCTGGGATACTGGGAAGTGGCTGATGGAAACACAGCCTGGCAATCTATTTTTTTTTTTAATATAAATCTTTTAAAATGTCAACAGCATATCGCAAATATTTAAAAAAAAAACCTAACAGTTGTCACAAATATCACAAAATCCAGAAATCATATTACATTTGTCTTAAGTAGATTAGGTGCATTAATAAAATATCAAAGATTAATGATCAGAGGGAAGGGAGGCTGATGTTTTCCTGTATCTATCTTAAATTTTCACGTTATACTTATTTATCATGGGAGGGGTACTGTGTCATGGAATGCGTGTGGTGGTCAGAGCCATCTTTCAGAAGGTTCTCTCCTTCCACCAGAACGGCCTGGCAACCTTAACCAGCAAGAGGGTCCACTGCCTAGAAGTGGCAGTCCTGGAAAAGAAGCCATAAATTAAAACATAGACCCATAGGCCCAGAGCAGCAAGGCCATAAAAGTGAGTGTGCTCAGGAAGAGGTCACTGTAATGGAGAGCACAGGAAGTTGGTGGTAGCCCAAGGCCCTTGCGCTGCAAATGCTGATCTGACTGACTGTGGTCTGCACCTGGACTGCCACTGGGTCTGAAGGCGGCTGATCTGCCCTTGGCCTTGGACAGGAGGAGGTGGGGCACAAGGGGAAGGCCAGCCTGCTAGACAGAGGGACCTCAGAGATGTGCGCACTTCAGTGGAGCACAGAGTTTTTTTTTTTTAAAGAATTTATTTATTTTTAATACTTATTTATTTATTATGTATACAATATTCTGTCTGTGCATATGTCTGCAGGTCAGAAGAGGGCACTAGACCTCATTACAGATGGTTGTGAGCCACCATGTGGTTGCTGGGAATTGAACTCAGGACCTTTGGAAGAGCAGGCAATGCTCTTAACCTCTGAGCCATCTCCCCAGCCCCCAGCCCGGAGATTTAAAGGGAAGTAAGCAGAGAGTTCTTCGCAGTGACAGACGGTCAGGAAACTCAGGCAAAGGGGGCAACTGACTGCTGTTATCACCGGCACCTTCCACAGCCTTCTTTCTTAAAGTAAAATACAGATCATTTTCACTCTAGATAACAAAAAGAACACACATCGCTTGTGCCCGCAGAAAACCCGTCAACACTGGATTTGTAAAGTCTGGTTTCTGGGCATTAGATTTAGTCTTCCTCGGGCACCCCCTTCCATCCATCTCCACTCCTCCCTTCTCCTTGGCCCTGGGTAGGAGGAGATGGGGCACTCTGTTCCCAAGCCTTTGAATAGGTGCAGTGATCTGTGTACCAGCTGTGCACCTTACCTTGTAGTATTTGGACTTCCCTATATTAACACTCGGGGTCACCATTCCTTAACAGCTGGATTGTGGGGGGGGGCATGGAGTGGAATGTGTGTAAATTACAAATATCCTTTAACAAAAACCATTTTAGATGCAGGAATTATTGTTTGAAATACTGATACTTAATTGACATTTGACCTGGACTAATGAATTTTATCTCTAGGGGCTTTGGGGGAAGTTGTTTCCTTCAGTTCCCAGAATTCAGAGTAGGTGGGAGGGGAATGCGAGTGGGCTCCCCATCTCACTCTTCCTCTTCCAGGGGTCCTTGTGATGCCACCAACAGAAGGCGTGTCCACGGGCCCAGTGTCTGTCATCTTGATTAGTCTGCCCACTGCTTTCTCACGTTCTCAATATGCTCAACCACTGATTAGGCCAGAGTGGTTTTTCCGGCTGTGAAATTACCTGCCATTAGTGGAAAGTGTCCCAGCCTTGTCTCTTGCCAGGTTGGGACTTCGGGCAGTTTTCTTAGATTTCTCAACCTGTTTTGGTAAAATAAAGAGTCGCGTAGGTCTGCTGGGATTAAAGGGAAGCATGCCACACCCCGATGCTAAGATTTCTAACACTGTCTTCCACTCTCTTCTCCTCTAGGTCAACACGCCCCTCAACCCCCACCCACCCCGACCTGCCTAGGCCCCGTTTTCGCGGTTGCAGGCTGGGTTCCGGGAAGTGGCTCTGCCTGAGTCTGCTTCGGAACAGCTGTGGAGTCAGGTGACCCAGCTCCCCGTGGGGTGACTAAAATACCAGCCATGCCGATTATTTGAACTTCCTGGGCAGGGCCCGCCACCGCTGTGACTGGTGGGACCTTGGAAGCAACAGTAATTAATATTTTGCCAGGTGTCATTCCAATGGCCCCCGCCAAGCAAGGGCTCCCACCCTGAGCAGGGAGCCCGTGGGAACTGCCCGGGCTGCATTCCCGGCCCCGTGGTTGTTCCACGTGCTCTGAGGTTCCAGACTGCAGGCAGGCAGGTGTCCTTAGCCTTGCCCCCAGGGCTCGGATGCCCAGCAGAGTGGAGCATCCACCCCCCGGAGCCTCCAGTCTCCAGGAGTGTGCTATGAAGGAGTTCCCTCCTAATCCACTGGAGCCTGTCCCTATAGCCCCCAGGGTAGGCGTCCTGGTGACCATGGTAGAGACATCGTGGGAGATGGGGACAGGGTTGGGTCTCATTCGTTTGTTCCCACACACACCTTCCAAAGTTCCACCTGAGCTAGAGACACGTGGAGGGCTCAGGGGCCATACCCCCCATCGTCCTCTTTTTATACAGGAGGACGCCAAGCCCCCTAAAAGTGGATTGTTCTACTTAGGCTCCTATGAGAAATGACCAAACGGGTGATTCAAAGTTGCTTTTTTAATATCTTTTTTTTTTTTAAATAAAATGTGTTTGAATGTTTTGCCAGTT